TTTTTGCCGCGTCGATCGGTGCTATGCAACTCGTCGAGATTTTGAGGTACTTCTGGAATTGATAATATAAAACTAAATTGCCGGAGCACGCGATTAGTGGGGTGCCACTCGACAATCGCATAACAGATCAGAGAGACCACCGCAATCCAAACATCTAATGGGCTCCTTAAGTCACGTGGGATACAAATCCTCATATCATCAGTACAATAAGGAGCCCATTTAAACTAAAACAAATATATATAATTCTTATCAAAATAATAATCTAATTATATAACGATAATTAAAAATAGATTGTGTTATTTAAATACATACCTCTGTGTCAGCCTTCTGATCAATGAGTAGCCGAATTGATTCTAATTCATCAGGTAAATCCCGATGATCTTTCCTTGCAGTAGACCCCCTATTCAATGAAATAATTTTTATTATATACTAGATAAAATGATTAATATACGAAATCAATATTGTAATTACCTCAATAATAGCAGGAAGACGAACAGGTTCTCTACAACCAGACATAAAAAAGGGCATACGATGCCACGCCCAAGACTGTAGCAGAAAGAGACATCCTCCAATAGCATTTTTCCTATAGTCAGTAGCTCAACACATTTACCTATACAAGAATGCCAAAATTACCGAGCCCCAACTCAGTGTGTCAGCCAGATGAAAATCGACGAGATGCCGCAATCACATACAGTGAACTTGGTTACGCAATTTGTCCAGCATCAGTAGCCCTCATATCAGCTGTAGTATGCATGCCCGTGCATACATTTTACCTGCTCCTCCGAGGCATCACTATTCAAATGCTTGAAATTTGCATCCAACCAATTTAACGAAATTCGATCACCGTTAAAATTTGGCGGGATACCTCCAAGATACTCATGGCACAATAAATTTCAGTTACCGTACGCCACCCCTGAAGGACATCTCCATCTACCGAAAGCCCTAAGTTCATGGAAACATCCTCCAGCTTGATCGTACACTATTCGCATGGAAGATGGAATGTTTGTGTCTCTGGTCTCTACCGCTCGACCAATGCAGAAATCAGGTTGGATTCTACGTTACAATGCCCTTCGTATCTAGCTACGTAACCGAATCCAGCCTCGACAAAATACGACCAGACACGGGTTGATATTTCTAACTTAAGATTGCAGATAAATGGATCTAATATACGATATATCTCATAATTTAATAAATATTATAGAAATTAATATATAAACTAATAATAAAAAATAATAAATAAATTATTACCAATAATTAAAATTAAAATAGAATTTAAAAATATTACAGTATCAGCAAAATGGCTCGAGATATGATTTTCACTAAACGAAGCAAACCACCTTCTATTTTATAACTGCAAAAAAATTAATATAATACAATTTAATAAAATACTAAAATATTAATTTATTATAATATAGTATAATATATTATCTTCTAAATAGAATTTGACTGTGTTTGAACTTTAAGAGGGTTTGGGTTTTGATATGGTTTAGGAGGATTTGAGAGGATTTTGTGTGTTTTAAAGAATAAAAGAGGGAGTATTTATAGGGTTTGGGATGAGTTTGGTCGGATGAGTATCATTAATTGGAGGAGTGTGAACGGTTAAAATAAAGTGAAAGGCGCGGATAGTGATCTACGCCTTTCTGGCGCGTGTCATAATTGTAGAAAAACGCAAATCATCATATGTGTTTTTCTGCAAAGGGTACTAGATCGATAAAAAAATTTAAAAGGGTGTATGATAGGTAAGTATAAAACGTAGGGTGATTTTTGGGTAAATACGCCCTTTTTTTTTACTTGTTTTGTTAAATTTATCATGCGGCTAAATATTAATTAAAAGTATAAAATATATACAGTTGGGACCCATCTAAACCACTACTCATAGGCGTTCTTGTCAAATATTAATACGATAACTATATGGTACAAATATAGTTATGCAAGCATAATTGGAATAAAGAAAAGTTGAATATATACATTATTTTAATATATTGAAGTTTATATAAATACAAAGATAAAATAAAATATGGGAAAATAAGAGACGACATGAGAAAGTAGCCTTCACTTGACACTTGTCGTTTATGAGAAGAGTAGCTAGCATTGCCGGCTGGCATTTGTAACGGTTCAGTTGTGATTAGGGGGTCCACGCGGGGTTTTGTGACCTGTACCAGCCCTTAATTTTGCCCCTTAAGTCATTATTATTCTCCTAAATAGGCTTGATAATGATATTCCTGGGAAGAAATTAGAATCGGCTATTCTACATAATAATAATTTGAATTTTACTTCAGAAGGATAACGATGGAGAACTTGTGCTTTTGCTTCTAGTCATCCAGAACTTGACTTTTTTTTCGGTGATTATTTAATAAGAATCAAATAACTATAATTCAATATTGGCATACAATTGATGAATTGCAAATACAATGCATTAATATATGTTTATTATTTAATGTATCATTAAGTTTTGAATATTTATTTTCAATTTGGCTGTGGTTGAAGCAGCCGCAATGAAATAAGATTACGATGGAGTTAGATTATTAAGAAATGAGTAATACCATAATAAAATTTATTGTTGGGATTATAAAATTTAGTTTGATAATTTAGAAATGCTTACCGATGTTTTATTTTATAAATAAAAAGCATCACGTAGCAAGTATAAGAAATTTGATATTTATAAAAATAAAAATCATCAACTTTTTTTTCTTTCTTTTTTAAACATTTAGGACTGAAATTTGGTCATAGATTGGCTCAAAACTATAAAAAAAATATGTGTATATATATTACGAAAAGAATTTCATTCATTTTATAACCAGCCGTGGTTTAGATGATTTACCATGCTCGACATACAGCGGCGGGTGCCAAATGTGGTTGGCTTTGGTGTGAGGTAATCCCAAACGCGTGCAATCCAAAAATATTGTACTGGAAAAAAGTAAAAAGTGAAAGCGATGATGCGGTAAAGGACGCGGTGCAACTCCATAGAGGGAACGCGGGGATAGAGGGCCCTTATTCTCTATCTTTTTCGACGCCTCCCTGCAAAACGTGACGCGTGGGACCCGTAAAAGGGGGCCGAACGCTCTATGTCGTTTTCTTTTGGGTTGAGCCACTTGATGGTAAAATGCATTTGGACCACACAGAAAGGGTAGTCATGCAAGTTCAATGCTTTATGAATGAGCTTTGAAGGGGATAGGTAACATGCATGGATCTATCCATCGAGTTCTAGACACATCATAGACCATTGTGAATAAAAAAAATACGATTAGAGAATTAATCATCACTATCCATTGTTGATATCTTAATTTGTTAAAAATATAAATTTTTTCAAGGGGTGCTTTATTTCTTGTAATAAATTCCAGAGGCACCAGTCCTCCCTAATTGGAAACTTCTGACATTGGCCCTAAATTTTGAAAAATTAAGTTAAATAGTGATAAAATTTTATTGTGTCCTTTAAAATTGATAAGATTTTGGTTTAATCTCTTAATTTATATAAATTACAAGTTAAAGTGATTATACTTTAATCTTTCAAAACTGTATTATAGTATGTTTCTTAAAAAATTAAAAAACACTTCATAAAACATATTCCAAAAATATAAAGGGCATGTCTATAAAAAAACCACATTCTCAACTATCATGTATAATGAATAACCTCTTGAAATATTACACATTCAAAATAGTTTAAAATTAGTCACTTTTATCATCTTTAACATCTACCTCTCATTTTCCATTTCTTTATCTATTGTATCTTACGATTCACTATTCTATATTAACTAAAGTAAAATGGGTATCTCATCTCTTATCATCTTTAACGTCTTCCTCACTTTTTCCCGATAACTGAATGAAATTGTTACAAAACTAAAAGCAAGCGAGATGGTCAATGTATATGTCACGTAATTTGCTTATTTTTAATGAATTTAATTTATTAAACTCCTTTGATAATTTGTTGATATCATATATTTATGAGTGAAAATTAAATTAAATTATATAACAGTTGGTAGATGAAAATGTTTCACTTGACCTTTTCTTTTTAAACAAATAATATTATGGAGTTGTGGAGATTATAATCAAAATCCAAGTAGAAACTAAAGTGGCAGATTGCTTTAGGTCACGACATACTGTTGAAACGAAGCTGTTGTTTGGATCACGGGAAGTAAACCTGGCATCATCTCTCCCTATTCGAGGCTAAAAAGACTCCTCGCCGACGAATAGTAATCACAATATTAAACAAGTTTTCTAAAAATAAATAAGGTTTAAACCTCTTAGTTTCCTTTATCAAATTAAAATATTTAGAATAGAAATAATAAAACAAAATCAACCTCTAAATGGTGAAGTAGTAAATTAGATAGAAGAGCGTATAAATTAGAAAATTTAGAATAGGAATAAATGTAAACGAAGAAAACAGGGTAGCGAGGTAATTGGATAGAGCGTGACTGATAGTTAATTTAGTGCAAGAGTCTTATGATTTGACAACATAAAGAAACGAAACACCACCACCAGCAAAGCTTAAAAACTTGGATTAAATATCCACTGTCACCTCTATGCCGTTCATTGCCCGCCACAAAAATTATGAACCAATAACTCGTGATATCAACCCGGATCTTTTGTGTGTGTGTGGGGCCAACCTTGGCCGGAATATTGCTCCTCCACCGACTACCTTTTAACAACTATTACATTATTATGTTGTCAACAATTATTGATAGTTATACATAATTAGCGTTTTGGATTAACATTTTGCCTATTATTGTATGGGTTTGTTCTTTTTAGCGTTAGCTTTATAGTATGGGCATCAATGAATTCTAAAGTCAGCCTTCCAAATGAGTTACAATTTGTCTTCATTTTATTATTAAAAAGGGGGCTGAAAGTGAGAGGTTCTGGTGGACTTTGAGCTGTGATTTAGCTGTCCTTTGGTGAATCATTTATTTCTTTTATCTCTCTTGCACGCACACGCTTCTCCAAAATACCCTATTAAAAGTTCACCTCATTGGTGTGTCTCTCTCTCCCCTCAAACCCAAAATCCCTGTTTCTTTCTTGCTTAGATATCAGAGTGCACCCACGTTTGGAACCCAGACTTTGCTAGAAGCAATAGAGAAGAGAATAAAGTGGCATTCGTAGAAGCAGATGTCTCATGTGAGATGAAGAAGAACAAGAATAACATCAAGCTCCATTTTTCTCGTCTCTCACTTTTCATCCTCATTGTTGGGTTCTGCTCATGCGAGCAGCAGAATCCCATTTCGAGCTATGGAGGTCTCAGTGACAAAGAAGTGTTGTACATCAGGCAGCGCCAGCTTCTGTATTACAGAGATGAGTTGGGTGACAGAGGGGAAAATGTCACTGTCGACCCGTCTCTTGTTTTTGAAAACCCCAGGCTCAGAGATTCTTACATAGCTTTACAAGCTTGGAAGCAAGCTATTCTCTCCGACCCTTCTAATTTCACCGGTGATTGGGTTGGATCTGGTGTTTGTGATTACACGGGGGTGTTCTGTGCTCCTGCTCCTGATAACAAGACAATCAGGACCGTCGCCGGCATTGATCTGAACCATGGTGATATTGCCGGGTACTTGCCGGAGGAACTTGGGTTACTCACTGATCTTGCATTGTTCCACATCAACTCCAATCGCTTTTGTGGCACCGTTCCGCATAAGTTTATCAGACTGAAGTTACTGTTCGAGCTGGATCTTAGCAATAATAGGTTTGCTGGTAAGTTCCCCCAAGTGATTCTCAAGCTGCCTTCACTCAAGTTCTTGGATCTGAGGTTCAACGAGTTCGAAGGAACCGTACCCAAAGAACTGTTCGACAAGGACTTGGATGCCATTTTCATCAACCACAACCGCTTCAGGTTCAACCTTCCAGACAACTTGGGCAACTCCCCTGTTTCAGTTATTGTGTTGGCCAACAACAGGTTCCATGGATGTGTGCCGTCCAGCCTTGGTAACATGACTGGTCTCGAGGAAATCATTCTCATGAACAATGGGTTGAGATCTTGTTTGCCTGAGGAAATTGGTGCGCTTAAAAACCTTACTGTTTTCGATGTTAGTTTTAATGAGTTGATGGGTCCTTTGCCAGAGAAAATTGGGCAACTGGTGAGCCTCGAGCAGCTTAATGTGGCTCATAATAGGCTATCGGGGAAAATTCCGGCCAGTATTTGTCAGTTACCGAAGCTGCAAAACTTCACATTCTCGTACAATTTCTTCACTGGAGAGCCGCCGGTTTGCTTGAACTTGCGAGCTTTTGACGACAGAAGAAATTGTTTGCCTGCCAGACCTTTGCAAAGAAGCGCAGCTCAATGTAAGTCTTTCTTGTCTAGGCCAGTGGACTGCAGTTCGTTTAGATGTGCTCCTTTTGTTCCTTCCTTGCCACCCCCTCCCCCTCCCCCGCCTTCTCCCCCAGTCGTTTTGCCACTACCACCTCCACCACCACCGGTTTACTCTCCACCTCCACCATCACCGCCACCTCCAGTTTACTCGCCTCCCCCACCACCACCCCCACCTGTTTACTCGCCTCCTCCACCACCACCACCTCCACCTCCACCTGTTAACTCTCCACCGCCTCCACCACCGTCACCTCCCCCGCCCTCACCTCCACCACCTTCACCCCCACCCCCTACTTATCCATCACCACCGCCACCTTCACCCCCACCACCTACGCCTGTTTATTGTGTGAGGTCCCCGCCTCCTCCGCCACCAAATTCACCGCCTCCACCACCTCCATTATTTTCCCCGCCGCCACCAATTCCTTACTACTATAGCTCCCCTCCACCACCAATTCCTTACTACTATAGCTCCCCTCCACCACCACCGCCTCCACATTCACCTCTAGCACCTATTTATTCATATTTATCGCCGCCACCACCACCTGTTTATTCCCCACCCCCTGTGGTTCACACCCCACCACCACCTTCACCTACACCATGTATAGAACCGCCTCCTCCCCCACCCCCTCCACCACCATGTGTAGAGTACTCACCGCCACCACCATCGCCACCTCCCCCAATACATTACAAGCCACCCCTGTCTCCTTCACCACCGCCACCCGTTGTAAAGTATTCCTCACCACCACCACCAGTTCATTACTATTCACCTCCACCACCGCCAGTTATTTATGAAAGCCCGCCACCTCCAGCTCCTGTGTATGAGGGGCCATTGCCACCGGTAATTGGTGTATCATATGCTTCACCTCCTCCACCACCTTTCTATTGATTCTTTTGAGAATTTCTCCCCTCTAACCTTCTACACAAACCACAAAAATAATGTTCACAAATTTGTATTTGGCTATCATCAAGATTTCTTTTTCTTCTCTTTTGCACTTCATTACGACCAAAACAACTCTTGTTTCGCCTTGGGAGCAATTCTCATCGCTCGCCGAAGGAATTCGTCCAAAAAAGTCTACCATTTCGGAAAACCATAGAGTTGACCTCTTCAATGTTATTGAAGGTGGTGGAAAGATGAGAATCCTATATTTAGTTGAAATTGTTATGGATATTTGGAGTTTGTGGAATAAAACTGGCAGAGAAAAAGAGATTAGGTTGCAGAGAATGTTGTATGTATAGAGATGAACCATAGTTTTCCAGCTTTACAAATGCAGCAGTCGCTGCTGCTAGTTTGTGGGGTTTTTTTACTGTTTTCCTATCATACTTTTGTTTAAATTTTTTTATAGTCCCGTGAACACTTGTATTTGATTATTTTATAGAATTCAGTTATTGCTCTCATGTTCACCCTTAATCTCCATTGTGATTATTTTGTGTTTTGGCTGATCAATTTTCATGGCATTCTGCTGAACAAGTTCGTTCCTTGATTCTGGGTTTAAGATCAGATACTTTTGAAACAATACTTGATATCTGAAAGTTGAACAAAGTCACTCACCATTGTCATCTTTCAACACTGTTAAACTACCAATATCCAGCTGTTAAGCATTATCAAGAAAGTTTCGGTTGCCCGTATAGTTCCAGCTATTGGGAAAGAAGAGGGGATTTGTGTTGGATTGATTTTTTCATCCAACTCCGGAAATTTCGATCGAGGCGGCAAAAGTGCTAACTGAGATCTTTTGTGAACTTGAAATGGACCATTCAAGTCACCCCACCGAACAAGAACAACTACTTTAATTGGTGATCGATTCGACTTTTATCATTAGATTAATGTTGGTTGGGATTTAGTCCCATGTGCAACCCCAAATGGTGGGTTCCCTTTGAAATCTCGAGTTTCAAACCAGATATCTTCACGCTCAACCTTTTTCTTTTTTACCCTTCTTTTGGAATATGGAATTTGAAATGTTCAACTCCCTCTATCTGCCAAAATTGGCGGTGCCTAGTGCTGTTTGACTGTTCTCATTTCACACTAAAATTTATATTTTCTGCTCTGGATTTTACTTTCATGGTCTACCATTCCAAATTGTAGCACAAAATCTATCAAGTGACCCTACATTTCCAAGTCATTACTAATTTACTAAAAGAAAGCGTTTTGTTTCCCTTCTTATCAAAGGCTCTTTCGAGAATTTGAAGAAAACAACACCGCTAAACTCCTGTCTGGATCTGACAGGAACTGGGAGCATGTGAAATGTGTGAATCACCATAACTGTTTCCTTTCCTTTTTCTTCACCCCCACTTTTGGTGTTGGCCCATTATTTCCCTAATTAAAAGTTAAAGAAAACACAACTTTCCACTCCATTGATCGAACCCAGAATTTTGCTTTATGTATTCAACCACTACAACAATCCCAATAGTTAAAAAGGAAAGATGCCCACTTTTGCGACCTTCCCGCTGTTTGATCTCCAATGTACACACTATCCTGGACAAAGTAAATCAAGCTTTTAATTGTATGATTGTACTACTCCATTACTTGTTTCCCTTATCTTCCTCAACTTGACAACTTGTATTATTGACACGCGTCGTTATGATGTCAAAATAAAATAGTCTTAATCTCAATGAAAGAAACAAATATAAGAGTAGAATAGTGAGAGTAAGGGTCGATCCACAATGACTAGGAGTCTGATAATCTTCTTGCTTGTGACCTTGCTTGGGACGTGACTTGTGAAGAGAATCTAAGGGGGATTTTGGAGAATTGAAACGTAGTGAAAAGAAAAATAAAAAGATTGAAAAAATGAATAGAAAGAAATTGCAAAGAAAACAAGATCTTAATTTTGTGCCTTCTCGTGATGGTTTAGCTCATTCTTCGATCTTATTCTTGTGCCTACAAGTTGAGGGACTCAACCCCTTAATATCAGCTATGGTCCAACCAATAGCTTCTTTATGCGCACACAATATCGTTACAAGATCATCTTCCTCTTCCTTGGTTAATTTATTCGACACAATCACTGGTAAAGTATTGTTATTGCCAAAAATGCGTACTTCAAGTGATTCGGTAATTTCTTTAATTCAATCTAAGGAGACTGCAAAATAGAAGGTAAAAGTTTAGATTTCGAAGGTGTAGTAATTTCATCAGAACAAATAGAATTAATGAAATTTTTTTGTTCAAACTCCTTAAATTCACCATCAAAATCGTCCAATTCCATACAAAACTTATCGACAAAGTTAGTCTCAATAAATTCATCAATCACAAGCTCAATCACATCAATAAAATTAATATTTTGAATATTTTCATGATGTCGCATCACTTTATAAACATTAAATTTAATGATCTCACAGTCAAATTCCATTGTGAGAATACCGCTCCTCATGACGATTTTTGTATTGGTGGTGCTAAGGAAAGGTCACCCAAAGAGGATCTCAGATGAAGTATTTGAACGGTCGTTTTTCATGTCGACGACATAGAAATCGACCAGAAAGATTAGCTCGTCTACCTTTACTAAGACATTCTCCAAGAGTCCTTTTGGGTAGATAATTGAGGGATCCTCTAATTGAATGGTAACTCTTGTGTCCTTCAATTTTTCAGCTGAAAGAGCATTGTAAACGAATAATGACATCACGTTTATTGAGGCTCCCAATTTGCACATCGCCCTCTTAATACCCATTTTGCAAGGTACGGAGAACATGCCTTGGTCCTTCAATTTCGGTGGAAGCATCGGGTCAAAACTGTAGAAACATGCTCTTCAAGGTTTACTTTCTCATACCCGGTAAGTCTTCTTTTAGTAGTACAAAGCTGTTTAAGGAAACGAGCATACCTTGGGACATTCTGGATTACTTCTAAGAGTGAGATGTTGATCTCAACTTTTTCGGAAGACATCTAGGATCTCTTTCTCCTCAGCTTGCTTGTCTTTCTTCATAAATCTCGATGGGAAAAGAGGTGGTACGATATATGGGGATGGTGCATATTAGGGTATCAGATTCTTCTTCTTTTGAATTGTGGCGTCATCCTCTTTTTTCTCGTGGGAGTTGACGTCACTTGCCTCATCGTTCTCCAAGTTAATTGCTTCTTCATATTTTTCTAGGATTTGGCGTCAATCTTCTCTCATATTGGTTGCTCGATAATTGTTCCGCTTCTGAAAATGGTGGAGCTTACATTCTTCCATGGGTTCGCTTCGGTCTGAGAGGGAAACTTGTCGTGTGATTCTAAGTGGCCCACAGTTTATGCCAATTGACTGATTTATTTGTCAATTTCTTGCAAGTGTGACTCCATGCAATTATGAAATTTTTCTTGGGATTGTGTCAATCGCTCCACAGGGGTCTCAAGTGAAGTATTCGACGATTGATAATGTTGTGGTGGCCTCGGTTGGTAAGCTTGATTCGACCTCTACTTTTACACATGTAACATCCTCAATACCGGGTTAGTGACCAAATTGAAATATTTTAGAATTTGGTGATTAAAGTAGAATAATTGAATAGTTCAATGATTTATCTGGAAATATTTCCTAAAAGTTGTTAGTAATTATTAAAGGAATTAAAGGGAAAAATGGTCATTTGACAAGGAAAATTTTTATATTCCTTTTATAAGATAAAGGAACCACGTGGGAAAGGAGAGAATTCTCCAGAGTTTTCTTTCTTTCTTCTTCTTCCTCCTCCCGTATCTCCAAGCTCAAAGGTGAGTTTCTTTGCTTGTTGATTAATTATTGATTTTAAGGTTGGGTTATGATCAATAGATGATAATTAAGCTTAAGGAAAGCTTAATTTGTTCTAAAACAACAAGATGAAAGATATAGAAGATATTAAAGAAAATGAGTTTTTAGATGAATTTATGGAAAAGAGTTAATAAGTGAAATTTGAGAAGCAATTTGACTTGTCATCACTAAGAATAAGAGATTTATGAAGTTAGAAAGGATTAATAACAAAGTTGAAAGTTTAGTAAGATTCTTAATTTTAAGAATCATGATGAGATATGGAAGATAGAGATGGTTTATATGAATACAAGTTGGTTTAAGTAATGGTAGTTGAGTATAATGACATGATAGTGGCTTAAAATAGAATAATTGAAGGAAGAGTTAAGGATTTTCGGGTGTAAAATACAAATTATGGGCAAAGTGTATCGATGCACATTCAATGTGTATCGATGCACTTTCAAATAAATGAACATTGAATGCAATTAGTGCATCGATGCATAAGGAGTGCATCGATGCATCATCTTAAGAATAAAACATCGAAGGTGAATTGTTACCGGTGCACAGGTAGTGCATCAAAGCACACGTTAAGGAATGCATCGATACACTGTAGAGTGCATCGATGCATACCTTTATTAAAAGATGAAAATAACTTTCTTTTAGCCTAAGAAATGATAGATTAGAATACATCAATTGGATACTGATATGTATCAATGTATGATTATATAGATATCGAGCACGAACAAGTTCCAGAACGATTATCAAGTTAAGATTCGATCGAAAGAGAGGAAAATCATAAAAGGGGATTAGAACTTAGTAATGCCAAGGTGAGTGCATACAAGTTAGTTTATGATGTTTAATGGAAATAAGACTTGCGAAGAGTCTATTTCTTATATTAGAATGCATGAATTTATGATCATATGCATATGTTTGATTTGGGTATATGTGATATATATTATAGTATGTATTAAATGATTTGTGTGAATACATGTAGTGTGATAAGTTATAGGAATTAATGTGAATGATCTATATGATTACATGGGAATGTGAAATAGGTTATATGATAGGTGATCATACATGCTACATAGTAAATGTGATCAAATATAAGAATCGATATAATAGATTTATATGACTACATGAGAAGGGTGATGAGTTAAATAATATTATACTATAGAGTAATATGAGAATAATATATTAGTGAAGGGAATTGAGTATAAATGATGATGCCAAACTATAAGATAAGTATTATAGAGAAGAAGT